TTTAATTTAGTTTATTGCCATGGTCAATATGAACTACTTGTTTTAATTGTGAAATTGCAATACCATATACTACTCAATGGATCACCTTCTCAGCCTATTCATGCCTATTCTTGTATCCTTTCCTGGTTAATCTACCAGATTTGTTCATTATCATAAGACTTATCGCTATTCCTGGACAGTCTAAATTTACTTGTCTCCTACGTTCTGTCTATCCTGGCTTTTATATATTTTATTTTTATGTTTTTACTTTTGACCGCTTTTACGTTCGGCTCAGTTTCTTCCGTAGCCATGTTGTTTTCTCAGTCATTCCTTCGATTTGTTTTCTGAAATGTTCACAAAATCTATTTTCTTCCTTTTATTTTGTTTTCTCGTTTTCATATTATTTGTATTCAGTTCATTCTTCTGTTCAATATAGTGCAGCTTTTGACTGCTCCAGGTAAACATTCCTGGTTCTGTTTTGTGTACAATTGACTACAGAGACAACGCAATCCATGATGTTGAATATCTCTCATTTTTTTTTCCTTTTCATATTTAATGTCAACATGGTCTCTGTGCGGAAAATCATCTTATTATTACATCTCATATTTGCATTAACTTGCAGCTCAATGGAAATCAATGTTTTCATTATTATTATTATTTATATGTTAATGTATACGGATGGATCGTGTGTATTATGCTTGATATCACAGATACTTAAACGGAAACAGGAATGGAGAAGGACGAAGAGAGAAAGAAAAAAATCAATGCAACACCGAGAGATGTTGGAAAGGGGGTGTCTTATATAAAGGCAACTCTCAAATCAGGGGTTAAATCATGTTTCGTGACCTGGCTGTCAGTTGAGGACAAGTTATCCCCACCCCGTCGAACTGCAAGTAAACTTTTGAAATCAAGATCTTTTTTTTTTTTAATTAATTTAATTTTATCTTCGCAAACTTATTACAGAGGGATCGAATCCAGACTGCGTCCGAAAGGGAACAGAAAGAGAACGAAACATAAAGAATAAATCAAAGAGAAAGTCTTAGAGATACAAAAAAGATTGTTTGAAACAAAGCGTGATTGGTGGTGGTTATCTAAGATAAAAGCAGTTATTTATAGTGAGGTGTTAAACCCTTCCCCGCCAATTCTTTTGAGAGAAAAAAAAGCGTTTAATTTTCAAACGAATTTTTTATATTTGTTTTTAATATGGACCCATTAAAGTGCCCGCGCGGAGGCTAAAAACTCTACCAGACGCATGACTTGACAAATGGACTCGATTCAAGCTCAGAAATGCATAAAAAGAATGAAGATCAACGTATAAACATGTTTGACAGTTATGAATCAAGATAGACATATAAAGCTGATGTTTAAACGTTATGCTTTGGACGTGTTTATTCGTTCGTGTCTGTCAAACCTTCGTTTAAAAAAAAACAAAACGTATATACACGTCTACGCCGGGAAAGGGCTAATCATGTTTTGAAACCTAACGGTCTTTTGAAGATAGAAACAATCCATGTACTGATAGTCTTGAATTTATGAAACTAATTTTGTCCAATATCAGTGTTTATTAAAACTTTAAATAAAAAAATAAGATTCTGAACCTGTAAATATCAAGTTTAACAACTAACGCGAATTTGCATGTTACGTCGATTTTTATTTAGGAACACTTACATCGCTCACCTATGTTAATGCAATAGTAAAGGAATAATCTACGACATAACAACACATTTCTTACATATGTTAATATAGGACTTGGGCAAGAAGTTTCCCCAAATACAACACGATCGAATCGAAATGGCTTACAATCCACGCCGCTTTCCTCACTCTAGCGTCGTATAGCGTCGTATTCTCACGCCGCATATACTTGCATCGCGCCGTATTGTCTGGGCGCCGTAAGCACGAATGCTCTTAGATTGGTATTGTTGTAACCCGAGGACTTACAATAGATTCAATTTTAACTTTGACTCAATTTGGATTTATGAAACTAATGTTGTCCAGTGCCAGTATCAGAGGTTATTAAAACTTTATAAAAAAAAATGAGATTCTAAGCCTGCAGACACCTCGTTGACTATATTAGGAACAATTTTATTTTTTTCGTTTTGTCTAACAGATTTTTGTAATCTCAAATATGAAACTAGCCAACTTCCAATTGGAAGCCAAAAAATTGCGCCAGAGAAATGTGAGGACAGTTATGGCTAAATTTTGCTATGGGTCTTTGCACAAAGTGCTCGCAGATTGACTCTTATGGTCAATTCAACATTCAAAATGTGATTTGCATGGTCAACGAAGCTCTGGACCTCAAACAAGACCAAACAATTTAAATTTTAAACGAAATTGTATTCAAAACCATTGAGTTGGATTTTTATTATCAACATATATATACGATTGTACCTATGTATCGTGTCTGTTAAACTTGGCATCATGGAGACGTAGAGAGTAAAACAGAAAGAGAGGTAGACACAGAGAGTCATTGGAATGGGGGGAGTTATCTTAGATAAAGGCGGTTTAGCGTAATGTGAGGTTAAATCATGTTTCGTGACCGAGCGATCTGTTGAGTACAAATTCGCTCCTGAACTGCAAAAGGCTTTTTGAAATTAAAATCATTTTTTTTTTTTTACTAATTTTGTAATAGAAAAATAGATGATATAGATAATAAAACAAAGAGAGAGAGGAAGAGAAGAGAAGAGAAGAGAAGAGTGTTCGACAGAGAGAGGCATTGAAGGTGGGGGCATCTTAAATGAAGACAGTTATTTGTAGTGAACGGTCTGCTGAGCACAAATTTGCTCCTGAACTGCAAGATTTTTTTAAATTAATTTTTTTTTTTTTTACTAATTTTGTAACATAAAAAATAGATGACATTCTTCTAATCAAGAATCCTCTTAAATCCAGACTGTGTTGAGTGTCCAAGGTGGAAACGGAAAGTGAGGACATAGATAATAACAGAGAGAGAGAGGGGGGGCATTAAAGGTATGGCATCCTAGATACAGTTATTTTTAGTGAGGGTTTAAATCATGTTTTGGGACCTAATGAATTGTAACCCAACAATTTTAGTATTTTTAAGAGAGATTATGTCACTTTTCTTATAATGATTTGGGAATGGTCATAGGTACATTTACAGAGTGCACCATTAAAAAACTTTATTACTAACTTTGTATAATTTACCCGTTCCTGATAGTAATAATAATAATAATAATAATAATAATAACAATGATTATTATTATTATTATTACTAATATTAACAAATTCAACCTTCAAATTAAAATGATACTTCCCTACCACTCCCGCTCATGAACAGAGAGGTACAGTGCACCTCGACCTTGTTAAAGTCAGGAAAATCTGTGTTACTGAACAGTATGTACTGTACCCCAATTCACCAATCCTCGGCTGTGGGTAAATAGCAGGGCAAACAGAGTCCTAAAGCATTAGTTGGCAACCAGTCTAGGAGAATGAAATCTCTGCATTCAAACTAACAGAGAGAGGATTAGGCTCCAACTAGCTACCTTGCCCAAGACACACACTACTGCTGCTACAGCTGCAGTACATGTAGTTCCTCTAAAACCCTAATGGGTTACGACACTCCTGATCGTGATCATGAATGGCAATTCACCAATACGACACAAAACATTTATCTATATCTCTCAGATGAGGTATTATGATTATTTACACTATTCGGACCGTTATCCTCATCTTCAATGCCATATTCACAACGTTTCGGCCGTTCTACGCTGCGGCCTTCGTCAGGTGATTGAAATTTCGGACCGAATTATTTCGTCCACCGAGGAAGATTGTTCTAGTTCCACATGACATGCCTTTTACGTATGTCTCAGTTATTTCCCTTTAACTCAAATCTCCGTGTTTATTTTTGGTCACTACTGCTGTAGCCTGGTATTGAACTCACAACTCTTTCGTCCTAGTCACTGGATTTAACCAACGCCTTTATCATGGGTCATGCGTCCTTGAGGATAAACCCAAGGAGTTGTGGTAGACCCAGAGTTATGAGTTCAATATCAGGCTACAGCAGTGGTGAACCAAAAGAACTTGGAGAGTTGAGTTAAATGGATTTTTTTTCTTTTTAAGCAAATCACCCCAAGCAAGACGGTAGTGCCAGTAGTACGCAAGGAGTTATGGAGAATGAGAGTAAAGTAAAAAGGAGTGCTTGGGAAAAGGATAAAGAGAAGGACAGGGATCAAGGTCAAGGTATCAGATAACTGAGAAATTCGGAAGCGGCATGGCACGTGGAACTAGAACGATCTTCCCCGGTGGACGAAATAAATGATGCGGTTCGAAAGTCGAATCACCTGAAGATGCCGGGGCGTACAACGGCTGAAACGTTGTGGATATGACAGTGAAGATGAGGATAACAGTTCGAATAATGTAATTAACAGAACACATGCGCAATTACTTCAGTCAATTAAGATCAGTAGCCCTGGACGCCATGCCTGGGAATTTATTATTATTATTATTATCCATATTATTGTTGTTGTTGTTGCTGCTGCTGCTGCTGCTGCTGTTGCCGTTGTTGTTGTGTGGCAGCATGTCTCTTCAAAACTCCAGCACTTCAAACTTCGCTGTCAAGTGGATTGTTTCGGGTCTTTCATCTCTTTTGCTTTTTCTAGCTACTTTTTATAAATTTCTTGGAAGTACCAAGCACTTCAACAATGAATGGCGAAACTTATCTTGATGTTTCTTAACATTTTCACTTATCTTGCGGTGTTTAGATACGGTGTTACGTTTTCTTAGTATTTCACGGATTTACAAGCTCACGAGATATAATGGTAATTATGTAGGTAATGATATAATGACTGCTGAATACAAAGTGACATTGACTTTCTTCTAGTCCCCGGCATCGATCTTTTCAACACCGCAGACCCCGGCACCTCTGCAGAGTCTCATTGATTCCTCGAATATTTAATTCATCTAGTCTCGATTCTCGTGTTTTGGGGTACGCTTTTTAGTGCTTCAACTAAAATGAGCATAATTTTAATTCTGATAGCTATCGTTCTTAACTTCCGGGTAAAAAACTAATGTATATTTTCAATTGTCTGTATTTTTTTTGTCTTTCATCTGTTGTCCATTTGTACATCGAAGTTCAATCATTGATAGTTTTTTTTTCTTTGTTTGCGATTATCAAATCCGGACTTGGGTGTAGATCTCGATTTCCAACACCCAGAATAGTGATTATTAATTTTTATTTAATTTTTTCCTTCTTGGGAATGAATGAGTCATTTTAATCGGAAAGAATTAAAGCTTTTAAGTGTTGTGGAATATTGACGTTTGGATTTTAATTCTAGCAGCATTTTTCAACCAAATAATCCGATTTCTTTCTCATTGTCTATCTATCTCGCCCGATATCTCTTCTTTAAAACTTATTTTATTTGTTTATTTGTTTCTTCTTCTTCTTCTTCTTCTTCTTCTTCTTCTTCTCTAGCTCAAATTTTATTTTATCTTTTTCTCGTTTTCGCCCTCTCGCGCGCTTTTTTTTTCTCTTTCTCTGTATTTTTTTCTTTTCTTCTCCTTCATTAACTCTTCTTTTTCTTTTTCAATGCATCTCTTTCTCACTTTGTCTACGTCTTTCTAACCGTTTTTCTCTCTCTTTCTTCTTTCTTTTGTATCTATTGTTTATATCGGTTTACATCTTTCTCCATCTCTTTTGATGTTGCTTCTTTTTTTTTTACCGATTTATAAAGTCTCTCTGACTCTTTACACACACACACACACACACACACACACACACATATATATATATATATATATATATATATATATATATATATATATATATATATATAATGGATTAAACCCGACAAATATTTTAATATATTTTCTGTTTATACGTTATTTTTATGGATACATTTATTTTATGCTCTGCTTTAATTAAAAAAGTATTACTTACATCTACCGACCTGAATATTCGAGAAATCTCGTAGAAAATATACGTCCTCTTACAGGGATCGAACCTGTATTCCAAATAATCTTATTCATAATAATAACGTATAAACAGAAAATATATTAAAATATTTGTCCTATTTAATCCATTACATATAATATGTTGTCATTGTTTACGTTAAGTTACGTTTTGGAGCATAAATATTATCGAAAAATGTCGTCGAATGTGTGTTTTTATGAGCAGTAATTTGAACTTTGCTAAAACGGTTCTCCTCTGTAGTTGAATAAGTAACATTACGTAAGACAAAATGGCGGTTTCCATATGGGATACAGGTTCGATTCCTGTCAGAGGACGCATATTTTCTACGCGATTCCTTGAATATTAAGACCGGTAAATTTATATAATATTTTTTAATTAAAACAGAACCTTTACTCCGATAAGTTGTAGCCTTTAAAAAAAAAAAAAAAAAAAAACGTATGAACAGAAAAAAAAATATTTTCTATTCTATATCTCTCTGTTCTTACCTCTTTGCTGTTCTTATACCATTTTCATGCATTTTCTATCTCTCCTTCCTTTCATCAACTCTCTTTTTCTTTTTTTATCACAGCCTATAGCTCTTTAGATGATAGATCTTTGCCGCTTTTTTTGCCTCTTTCTATCTCCTCTCTCCTATTTTCCTTTCTTCTCTATTCATCTCTCTCCCTCTTGTCTACGCACCCCAACTTTCCCTCTATACCCATTTATCAAATTAAAATCAGGGAATTTTTACAGGTGCTTTACCAAATAGAATCACATGCAGCGCTGGCTTTTAATTTATTTCCTTTCTTCGTGAACTGAGAATGAAACCCGGCAAAATAAAACTGAATTTATTTGCCTGCATTTTTATGAATTCTATCACAATTATAATCACTGAGTTTTGGCTCAATTAATAACTAGTGGCTTATCATAAAGAATAAGTGACAGCAAGTCTCCCTCAGTATATGTCTATACTTCTGAGATGAGGTATTATGTAGATTATTTACATTATTCGGACTATTGTCCTCATCTTTGTCGCTATATTTATTACAACGTTTCGGCCCTTCAGTATATGTCTATATTTCTAAGATGAGGTATTATGTAGATTATTTACATTATTCGGACTATTGTCCTCATCTTTGTCGCTATATTTATTACAACGTTTCGGCCCTTCAGTATATGTCTATATTTCTAAGATGAGGTATTATGTAGATTATTTACATTATTCGGACTATTGTCCTCATCTTTGTCGCTATATTTATTACAACGTTTCGGCCCTTCAGTATATGTCTATACTTCTGAGATGAGGTATTATGTAGATTATTTACATTATTCGGACTATTGTCCTCATCTTTGTCGCTATATTTATTACAACGTTTCAGCCTTTCAGTATATGTCTATATTTCTGAGATGAGGTATTATGTAGATTATTTACATTATTCGAACTATTGTCCTCATCTTTGTCGCTATATTTATTACAACGTTTCAGCCTTTCAGTATATGTCTATATTTCTGAGATGAGGTATTATGTAGATTATTTACATTATTCGGACTATTGTCCTCATCTTTGTCGCTATATTTATTACAACGTTTCGGCCCTTCAGTATATGTCTATACTTCTGAGATGAGGTATTATGTAGATTATTTACATTATTCGGACTATTGTCCTCATCTTTGTCGCTATATTTATTACAACGTTTCAGCCTTTCAGTATATGTCTATATTTCTGAGATGAGGTATTATGTAGATTATTTACATTATTCGGACTATTGTCCTTATCTTTGTCGCCGTATTTAATTACAACGTTTCGGCCGTTGTACGTTCCGGCCTTCTTCAGGTGGTTCTAGTTCCACGTGTCATGTTAAATGGATGACAGTTATCAGTTATCTCCTGATAATTTCCCTCTGAAAGTTCTCCACTGCCTTAACCGGGTATTTGGGTCCTGCCACAGTGAATAAAGGCTTTAGTTAGATCCAGTGATACAACACTATCAAAGATTATTATTATTATTATAATTTTCCTTTGATTTCAGTTGTATACCTATTTCCTTCCGGGGTTCCAACCAGAAACCTAATTTCAGAAAAGACATCATGACATTTTCCACTGAACATTTTTCGTAAAAATCAAAAAAAAAATTATAGAAGTAGAAGTCTATCCGTTGTTTCCTGTTTAGAATCGGATTTCGTGTTCCTTCTTGAGAATTTTCATTTTGTTTCACTCCCAGTAGCGTCCCACCCTTGCGTCTTAGTAGCATTATCTCATTGTTTAGAAAAAGCCCTTCATAAGCTCTATGTTGTGCTTGCGAGAACATATTTTTATATTTCTTTTACACATGGGTTACTAGTGATCCCATTAATATTAACCTATTATAATTTTGCTTGTCACCCCGCCACAAACTTTTGGTATCATCGTTACACCCTGCAAATAACTTATAAATAATGATCTATTCTTTGGTAAAGGCACTACTCGTTTCAGTGAGAAAAGAAAAAGAAGAAGAGAAGACAGAAGTAAGGAGTGAGAGAGTTAGATTAAGCTGATAAGAACAGATACTCCACTTTGATCTTAACTAAAAGACCGACAGCTTTATTTACTTGACCCCTCAATGTGTCAGGTTGACACAGGGTCGGTTTTTAACGTGGGGACCCGAGAGTTTTCACTCGGGCCGCTGGTCCAAGCTAGTCTTATCTGGTTGTAACTTGTCCAAGCTGGTCATAGCTGGTCTAAGCTAGTCATAGCTGGTCTTGGCTTGTCCTAGCTGGTCCAGACCCGAGCCGTGATAGAATCTCAGCCAAAAGACTGAAAAGCGATTGCAGACCCACGCCGGCAGGATGTGACACATAGTTCAATGTACGGAGTCCGCGTGTATGCAACAGGTCTAGGTTAAAAAATAGTCCACCCTACTCGTAGTTGTCGATTGCCCTGGTATCGGTATTACTGCCAATCCCCCCATCTCAATAATATTTTCAGTTGCAACCTCTCCGCAAACAGAGATTAGAACTGAGTTGAGCTTTCTCTGAAGATAGTGATACAACTGATAGATTAAAACTAATTTATGCGCCCGATGGCAGATACTAAACTTTGATCACAGTCAAAAGGCCGACAACTATGGCGACAGCGATAAAAGTGATATTTTAAGACGCACAATATTGAATAAAAACCAAGGCGTTCGCCAAAAATACAGTTACCATAAATAAAATAACAATGCATCATCTGCTGCATTATGTTTAAATTATTATTAAGAGAACTGTTCGTAAGACGTGGATTTGGTTATTATTATTATTATTATTATTATTATTATTATTTCCTTTGATTTCTGGTGTCTACACATTTCTTTCTGGTTCCCGCCCAAAGACATAAGGTCAGGAATGGCATCATGACATTTTCCACTGACCAATTAAAAATTTACATAGATAAAGTCCTTCGTAATGTATGGGCTGTACTCGTCAGAACAATTTTTTTTGTATTTCTTTAAGGCATGGGCTACCAGGAATCCCATCAATGAGTCTATTGGAATATTTTCCTGTCAATCCGAGGCTCCAACTACAAAAGGTATCGTTGATGTTCCCATGTGTCACATTTTTGAGATTTTGATTTCAAGGTCCTTGTATTTTGATAGCTTTTTGAAGATCTTCAAAGATACCTTGCAGTCTGCAGTGACTGCTATATCAATAAGGAGGATTTTTTGTTGTTTACACTCTCTAATAATAACGTTTGGGCAGTTAGATTTGATTGTTTTCTCAGTGTGTATTGTGTAGTCCCATTAAATAGTTATACGTCCTATGTCGGTAATCAGGTTTGCGTGGCGTTCATACCAATTTCTTTCATTTTCCTTCCCATAGATGTTGCAGATTTTCCAGTGCAGATATTGGCTCACTCTGTCATGCCGGGTTTTATATTCAGTGGCTGCTAATACCTTGCAACCTAATACAGGATGATATTATTATCATTATTTTGTTTTCTGTTTAGTACATTTCCTTAGCGGGTCATTACCCGAGCTGAAGTGTGAGGTATGTTAGTATTTATAGGAATTCTCTTTGTCTAATTGACACTTCTGCGTAGATAATTAGTTGTAAATAGTGAAAGAAAATAAGAAAACTGTAGTGAAAAAAAATGACAATAAAAGAACAGGCTCTGTCTATATCTCTGAGATGAGATATTATGATTACTTGCATGATTTACATTATTCGGACTGTTATCCTCATCCTTATTGCCATATTCACAACGTTTCGGTCGTTGTACGCCCCAGCCTTCTTCAACATCTGTCTATATCTCTGAGATGAGGTATTATGATTACTTGCATTATTTTCATTATTCGGATTGTTATCCTCATTTTCAGTGTCATACTCACAATGTTTTGGCTGTTTGAAGGGAAAAGGGTGATTACCCCCCCACACACACACACCGCGAGCAATGAAGTTGAAATAATAGACAGAGAAAATCACTGGAAAATAAGAAAACTTAAGGAATTAGCACATATGCTAGGCCACAAAAATCTCCTGAGCCGACCAAGCATAGAAATGCAATAATAATAAAAGAAAAATTGCAATATGAGCACTGGTAAAAAAAATGGGTTCTCAGATATTAGGCTTATAAGTCCACGAAATTCATACAGATATGTTCTCAAGGATACATGGCTCAATGGATAAAGACGTCGGTTATAACCAGTGACTAGACCCAAAGAGTTGTGAGTTCAATACCAGGCCACAGCATTGGTGAACTAAACTTGTTGAGTTAAAGGGAAATAATTGAGGCATTGCGCGTGGAACTAGAACAATCTACCCCGTTCGACGAAATTCCAATCACTTGAAGAAGTTCTGAGCGTACAATGGCCGAAACGCTGTGATATGGCAATAAAGATGATGATAACACTCCGAATAATGTAAATAATGCAAGTAAAGAACAGGGTTTAAAAAGAAAGAAACTGGCAACTTACGTTGAATTTACGTTTGAAGATTGTAGGTGGCATCAAATCAAGAAACAGAAATGCGGCAAGTGGGATAAAAGAAAGTGTTAGAACAGAACTAGCTAGTTCAGAACAAAACGGGAGACCTAGTCGCCAATCTAGTAGCACGCTTAAATTTATTTAGTGGATGGACTAAGACAAAAGTTCATTATGAAAATGTTATGGGGTCCTCCCCTTTTTCATATAAGTGGACTCGACCAGTGTTACTTGGACTGCTGCCGTTAAATACCCAGAGTCAGTCAGTATACAGGGATTGAGATTGAGAGTGAGCAGAGATTGTGATTGAGTTGGAGGTAGAGTAATAGTGTGAGGTAACCGCTTGTAGAAGTCAGTTACTCTAAGGAAGTCTTACTTCGAGACTGTATATATATATATATATATATATATATATATATATATTATTTATTGCTACTAACCGCGTTCCTGGATTTACTAACAGTATTACCCATTGTATTATTGTGTAAATACATTTTATTTCTTATCTTTAATTCCTGCGTTTGTCATTCATTGGAGACCGAATTTCATCTCGAAATCCACAACAGAAAATATTTGTAGAAAAGTCAGAGGTTAGCTTTATTAATGGTAATATTATCCATTTCATTATTAATAGTAATACTATCCATGTCCTTATTAATGGTAATATTAACCATGTCCTTAGTAATGGTAATATTAACCATTTCTTTATTAATGGTAATATTAACCATTTCTTTTTTTTGGAAATTATTCGGCATTCATTGACCGAGTAGCCAGGGCTACTGTCGTTTGAAACTTATAGGCTCTTTCTCTTACTATTAATTATGTTTCTTAAGTCAATTAATTGTTAAAACTCTTTTCAGAATTGATGGGAAAGCAAAACATC